TTTTTTTTTATAACAAAAACAGGGCCTTATGGTCCTGGCTCCTTCTATTCTGGGGAGCATCAGTCCGGTTCCTATTCCACCGGCAAGTAAAAATATACATTACATCAAGAACACTCACACACGCTTCCTTCCATCAGGCCGAAGGATCCCTGAACAGCATTGATTGCTCCACCGCGGTGGAGGAGTGACTGTCAGCTTGCCCTATCCCTCTCTTTCCTCTCAGACCTGGAGTCCAGGTTTGCCAGATAGCGCCATTGTCCCTAGAAAGAGCTCATCCATTATCCTTGCCAACCTGTTTCCTCCCCACACACCTCCCTGCCCCTTTGGAAGATCTACGATAAAACCCTAAACCCTGAACCCCTCGCCTGTGCGCCCAACCTCCAATAGTCGATCTTGGACATTGGCAGGCATTGATTTGCTTCCGCCCCCCTGCGATAAAGCCTTCCTTTGTAACCCGCGTTCACCCGTATTTTCACCTACTCTAACTTGTCCTTCTCTCTCCCATGTTTCCTCTTTGTTCGTACCCCCTGGGGCCCTGAGGGGCGCAAAAGGCAGAAAGGATCTGGTTTGAACTCATCAGGAAAGTGACCCTATGGGTCATATGGAAGGAGAGATGCAGCAGGACAATTGAGGGGCGGTCTAACCCACCGGAGAAGGTGTGGAGAGAAACCAGAACATTGATACAAGCTGAGATCCTCTGCAGATGGCAGAAGACCAAACAAGCTTGGACAGAAGACGAAGAGCAGCGTAAGAAGGAGAGGCAGAGATTCTACAGGAATTGGCTGATAAATGGCAAGATTGCAGAATTGCGAGAGGACCGGGTATGCTGGAAGGAGTGGCACAATTCAGTACCAGAAAGAGGCTTTCACCAGCAGGCAACGTATGAGGTCATATTCGCATCCTAGGCCTCATTCGAATGTAAGGGTTCTAGTGTTTTTAATCAAGGGGATTCGGGGAAGGAAAAAGTGGGGCAGAGATCACTGCGGCCCATGGACAAGAAGGGCAACTGAGGACATAGAGGCTAGCTTGGTCAAGGGTTGAGCTCCTTCTAGGGGACATGGAACTATCTGCCACTGGTTACTAGGTCTGAGAGGGAAGAGCGAGACATGGCAAGCTGGCAGTCAATCCTCCACCAAGGTGGAGCAATCAATGCCGCTCAGGGGTCCTTCGGCCAGATGGAAGGAAGCGTGCGTGATTCTTATTGTAATCATTTTCTGGCTTGCCGGTGGAATAGGAACCGGACTGATGGTCCCCAGAATGGAGCCAGGACTTTAACGCCCTGTTTAAAAAAAAAAAAAAAAAAGATAAGAATATGATGAAGATGGGTCAAACTGATTGGCACTGAGGCGGACCGAATCGCGAAAATACTGTGGGCCACGTACAAGTCCATTCGCCTGGCCAAAGTCAGAAGCCTTCAATGGCTGATCAGTTACAGGGCTCTCCCTGTCAACAGTTGGCTCCACACAAGAAGGAAGAAAAATGATCCCAATAGCTCGGACCTATGCGTAGTATGCTCAGAGAACGAGCCGGACGATTTAATTCACTGTCTGATCACCTGCACGGAGGCGACCGAATTCTGGACTAGAGCGTCCAACTTGTGGGACCACCTATTCCTCTCCTCGCTCGCAGAACACACAATCCAACTGATTCTCTGTACTAACATCCCCTCAAATTTTGGGCAAATCTGAATGCGTCTGGTTTGGATTAATACAAAGGGTGACACTTTGGATCATATGGAAAGAGAGATGCAGCAGAACCTTGGACACTTCGCCCAGCCCATGAGAGAGAACATGGGCCTCGGTGGAATCAATGATGGAGGTGGAAATACTCAGCTAGTGGCGAAGCGTTAGCTTCAATTGCAAGTCCAACCGGAGAGACAACAGGAACCTATAGACAAGTTCCAGCAAGTACGGTTGATCAATGGCAAAGTGGCTAAGATCCGGATCACCCATCTCAAGTGGAAGGACTGGCACAACTCTAACATGGCTCATAGGTTTCAGCTCACCCCCCTCCCAGGGTCACAGGTCGTGAGAGGCATGGCATAATGAACCCCGAGCCAACGCTGGGTAGGGCAGCACACGGAAGGCGCTTCGCTCACAGACCCCACCGCACTCTCAGGCTAGGGTTTAGGGTTTCAAGTCAACTTGGGGACAAGTCAGTTAACAGCTCAGTTAAAGTATGAATTATGATCCTGTGAATTTCAAGAAATACACCGTCATCGGCTCCGTCTATGGAGTCTGTAATCATAGAGGAGGGTTAAGGGTTCTAATGGGGGGGAATAAATCGATGGAGAAGGTAAGAGTCTCAACCGGTCTATCAGAATGGGTCAGAGGAGCGCTGCTTCTAGGCACGCAAGGACAGATAATAACAGGGGTTGTTTAACAAGCGTATGGATATGGCCCAACTACAAGAGCAGTCTTGAGCTTCAAGTAGAACTGACAGCTGGGATATGCCACGGCTGACAGGACTTTGTGAAGATGGGCAAGCCAACAGTCAATCCTCCATGAAGATGGAGTAATCAATGCTGCTCAGGGATCCTTCAGCCAAATGGAGGGAAGCGTGTGTGTGTGTGTGTAATTTATTGTATCCTTATGACTTGCTGGTGGAAAAGGAACTGGACTGACACTCCCCAGAATGGACAGGGGAGTCAGGACCATAAGGCCCTGTTTGACTGGAAAAAAAAAAGGGGAAAAGAAAAGAAAAGAAGATAAGGATATGATCACCCCATGCTCTATGAGAGGGCGAGAAGAGAGAAAGCAGGTACTGTATGGGCAGGGGAAGAAGCTCACCAGCACTGTACGCATCAGCTCGACGAATCTGGCATAATTGACTGGGTATTGGTCTGGTCCGTGCAACCGTGCTGCAGTCTTGATGTCCCGCCTCACCTCTGGGTCTAGCATGTCCAGATCCGCTGAATCCAACGCCACAGCTCCATCCTAGAATTTCCCACAATTTGTGAAGATAAATAAGAAAGGTCACTTTTTTACTTTTCGGAATCTGGCATGTAAGGCAACAACCGACAACCAAAAGGGATTCTGAGGGGGACCTATAATCCCCGATCACGGTTTGATTATGCTCAGGTGGGAATGCTTTAGAAAATTGTGCACTTCCACAAATTGACTGCCAGGGCTTCTCAAACCACAGATTCTATAAAAAAATGGGCACTAATTCCACAAAAGAGGACATGACACAAAGCAGAGCTGAAGAAGGCAAAGGTGAAGGAGGACGCAAAGAAGTTGGAAGAAGAAGAAGAAGAAGAAGAAGAAGAAGAAGAAGAAGAAGAAGAACTGACTGCTCACAGCACAAAGGACACGACATTTCATCTTTTCAAACATCAGCTATTGGATCCATGATGCTTCTTTTGTTCTTTCCAGTGTCCATCTCAGCCTTCCTAAAGTGGAGGAGACCAACAAACTCCGAGTACTTGGAGCAGCCCAAGTCCTGACATGCTGCTGGTGATGCAGACTAATCAGGGGGTTCATGCCTTGGGGCACGGATAAGCCCCAGTAAAGTGGAATCAGCCATACCACCTGTTGTATGCAAGCATTCACTTCATTTGTTCTACCTACCGTGTAGGGTACATGACTAAGAAAAAGAAGAAGGAGAAGAAGAATACATAAGCAGAAGAAGGCGGGGGGATTGGCCTTGTTGTCATATCTTCCTTTGCTTCTCTCTCCCTTGCTCCCTCCCTTTCTCTCTCCATTTCTCTCTCTCCTCTCCCTTTCTCTCTCCTGTGCACGCACACTTGCCGTTATGTTTTCAGTGGGATCCATGAACACACCAACAACACAACAACCTGAAGCAAGACAAAATTATGGTTCTAACTAATGCCCGTTTTCAGATCCACAAAACGTCAAAAGTACTGGAGTGTTTCCAAGAATTGGAAACTGTCAAAAGGAAGGGACAAGAGGACAAGGGGACCCCCTAGAGATGAAGCAGGCAAGAAGAACGAACAGCGCCTACTCACACAAGAGATCGCAACAGTGGCAGCACAAACGAAATGACTGTTCGACCAGAACCGGGACTATAAAAAAGAACAAAGAGAAAAATTCATCACAGTCCAGACGATAGCGGAAAACAAGCCCCCCATGTCATCAAATCAGCAAATGCTGATAGAAAGACCATCAGGGCAGTTTGACCGCTGATTTTAGGAGCAAACTCAATGAGTGGCAGGTGGCCACCGACGCATCCTTTGCAATCCCCACCCTCGACGACGACCGCGCCCTGACAAAGAACATCAGGGATAACATTCCAACAGAAATCCCTGTGGGGGTATATGGGGTTCCTCCACGAGAATTGACGGTTGAGGGTAAGAGTTCTGACGCGCCGATCCTTACCCCCTTCGGCCCCATCCTGGTCAAGCTCGAGGAAAAAGCGAAACTCAGTGAAGGCTTGACTTGGAGGGCTTGGAACACGATCACAGGGATCCCTTACAATGTGTTGAATGACAGATCCAACACGACTGAGATCATTGCTGGCTCTCTGGGAGATATCATCACAAGTCACCTTTTGACCTCAAAGAGCTCACTGCAAGATGAGGCTACCCCCATGGATGTGGACATGGGGATAGAAGACGTCATGGAGGAAGAAGACGAGGAAGGGCTGGGTTTGGGCGATAAGTTCTCCCCTGGAGGAGGCACCGAAGTACCACATGCTTTGTCGGAAAGCAGTGCATGAGAATACAACATGGGCCCTGCATCAGCGAGGGATGACAACAGGGATTCAGACACCGAGAGCAGCAAGAACGATGCTGCAGTGGACTGAAGATCCCACCCCTAACAGTAATTAAACCCGGTTCACACACGCAGAAACAAAAACCGCAAAACACAAGTCAATAGGCAGCCAAACAGGAAGGAAAAAAAAAAGAAAAAAGGGGGGGAGCAAAGAGAGAAACAAGTTATCAGCCAATGTCGAGCCCCACAGAGACCAGAAAAGGGCAAGGCAGCCCACTGAAGACCAACTGGTATGCCAGGGTCTCCAAATACTAAGCTGGAATGTCAATGGTCTAGGGAACATCTTAGCCAAGGTGGACAAAATCAGAGATATCAGGCTCGGTCTCACAGGAAAAGATCAGCCCAAGCCTGATATGATACTAAGCCAAGAGACCCATCTGTCCAACCTGAACAACCATACTAGAATACAGCAAAGTGTGAAGAAGACAGCAGGGGGATGGCCAGATCAAGAGAGGAACTGCAATTATAATACCAAGTTCGTCCAAGATTCTGGAGGGTAGATGGTCATGGGTAGACATAAGATGCGAAGAGCTAAGAATCCTCAACCTATATGCACCCAACGCAGAACCTGGAAGACTGATTTCTTTGAGGACATTAAAGTTGATTAAACCTCTTATCCCCAACCCGCAACTATTGATCATTGCAGGAGACTGGAACACAACTCTGGATCCCAACTTGGACCGGATCTCTAGGACACATTAATGGGTCCCACAAGAGCGGGAACCCGGACACAAAATCTGATTTGAACTGTGAGGTCCATTCAGGGCGCTCCATTGGGACAAAAAAGTTTTCTCCCGGATCAAAAAGAACCAAGCCAATCAGACTTCACTGTCCAGGATCAACTACTTCCTGATCTCCGAAACCCTACAAGGCGCAATCAAAGAAGCTGAAATCCGTCCTTCAGCCACCTTCAAAGGACTAGACGACAAGCCCATTCAACTGCTGCTCAATTTTAACTCACCAGTTGAAACAGGACAGGGTTTTTTCAGGCTGAACAACTCCCTCCTAGCGACTGAGAGGCTGTCTGCAGCTGTCAAAGAAAACTGGTCCATCCAAAAACAGCGAGAACTCAGACAGACAAACAGACACCAATGGTTCATCGATAGTTACGCAAGCCTAACCCGAACAATATCAGCAAACTCACGGGGCATAGCGGGGGATCGCAAAAGGAGAAGGGAAAAACTCCAATTTGCCATCTCAGTCGCAGAAGCTAACCTCGCAAAGGACCCCTCTAGCAAGTTCTACCAGGATCTACTAGCTGATACAAAAGAGGAACTAAATGATTGGAGAAAATGGGATTTGAGAGGACTACAATGTGCGTTAGGATGACGGACTACACACTCAATGAAACCATGACTCAATTCTTCTTCTCCATAATTAAAGTGAATGCGAGGAATAAAATGATAGAGCGCCTCAAAGACCCAACAAATCAAGGGAATGTCAAAACAGCTGGTACATAGATGGTTAGGATAGCCAGGACATTCTACGCAGACCTATACAAGTCGCAGGCGCCTTCACCCCCGACCACAACGAACCTAACAGCCCGTCAACACATGATGTCGTACCTAGACAAAACGATCTCAATAGCTTAAGCGAAAGTTCTGGGCAAAACCCTAACCCTGGCTAAGCTACACATAGCCCTGACCCAGATGGGAAATGACAACACTCCATGCATCAACGACTTCTCGAAAGAATTTTGGAGTTACTTCTGGCCAACTCTAGGAAAGGACCTGCTCGATTTTTTCAATGGTAGCAGGCTAAAGGGAGGCCTAGGCAATGAACCAAGCACCAGTGTGGTATCTCTGCTGCACAAGAAAGGAGAGAAAGAAGACCTGAAGAACTATAGATCCATATCACTACTCACCACACCCTACAAAATCCTCGCCAAGGCTCTTGCAAACAGAATCACAAACCTAACAAACAAATGATTTCATATCGACCAAGCAGGCTTTATCCCTGGCCGATACATACTAGACAACGTGATGACACTAAATGAGCCGGCAAAGGAGATCACGGAAAAACGAATGAAGGCAACAATCCTATTTTTTGACTTCGAAATGGGCTACGATCAGGTGAACTGGGACTTCCTGCATGCCTGCATGGAAAAAAGAATGGGTTAGAGTCCTCTATTCAAACGCAACAGGCAGAGTGCAGGTCAATAGGATTCTTTCAGAGACCTACCTAATATCAAGATCGGTTAGACAAGGTGACCCATTGGCTCCTCCCATCTTCCTCTTTATTATGGAAGTCACAGCCTCCTTCCTTCGAAAAGATTCATCCATCGACCGCCTTACTGAACGCAACTTCCATGCACTACGCTAATGTTTGCCGACAACCTCACTGTCTTCTTTCTCGCCAACAACTGCTCATTCCAAGTCCTCGTAAGAGCAATGGAAGCTTTGTGATTGGCATCGAAAATGAAGGTTAATTGGGGCAAAACCGAAGGATGGTGGCTAGCAGACGGGACCCCACCCCAACCGACCGATACAGCCACACCCATGTCATGGTCTACAAGAGATCAGGCACTAAGAGTCCTTGGTATCATGGTAAACAAGGACGGAGTGTGGCCAGGCATGGGCCAAAACCTAGTCGCCAGGGCAATCACTCGGCCCCGTGCAAAACCGCGCAGACCTCCTTAATCAAAAAAGCATTAATAATTAACACGACAATCTTCTCCAGATTGTGGTACATGGCATCCACCTGGTCCCCCCCCGACGAAGACCTCAAAGTTAAAAAACAGGGCTAGATGCTATCTATGGACCGAAGATCCCAACAAGACTATGTGTATCAACAAAGTAGCCTGGAACCACATCATCAAGAAACCGCAGGAGGGTGGTCTTGGGCTAATTGATCCCAAACAGAAATCCATAGCACTGCAGATGAAATGGATTATCAAGATCCTGATAAGACAATTCATTCCATGGACCTAGATGTCTCTAGGCAACATAAAAAATCAAGCACCTATCAACTCCCCTCCAAACACGAGAGGTCTTTTCTGGATAATGACGAAGGACTGGACAATCAAATCAGGCAGACCTCGTAGAAGAAAACCAACAGATCCTGTTACAACCCCCACCCCAACAGCAATTCCATACTGGAAGCCCGCCCTCAGAGCCTGGCGAAGAATGATGTCGAGCAAACGTGGTGCACCAGGAAACAGAGAAGAGGTCCGGAGACAACCTCTGTTCTGCAACCCCTGGATC